AAGTTATTTATGCACATTTCTGTAAGAACAATTAGATGGGCAACAAATGTAATGAACTGAAAGGAGCACAGGGCTGTGAATGCAGGGTTTGACCTTTTCTGTGCAGCCTCTGAACAGCAAATTGCTCTGGATTTTCCCTGCTCTTTGTCAATGCCATTGGGATGACAACGAGGGTGGGATTTTCATACTTGGGAAAGGAAATATTTATTATTTCATCCTTAGGAAACACGACTTCATTGCTTTGGACTGCTGCCATTATTTTGGGAGCAGCGCTAAAAAACGAAACAAATGGGGATTATCTGCAACTCTCAGAGTACTGTTGATATTTTAGAGGCATTTTTAGATATTTAATGTTATGATATTTAACTTGAGAGGCTTTAGAAGAAACTGATATACACACAGTGGATGTTTACATTATTAGGGAGCTCAAAGGGGAAGAGTYCAAAATGCACCAATCATTTGTAATAAGAACAGCCAGCATTCCCTGCATGCCTTGTGATGCAAATGCTGTAATTGTGATTTTTCTGAACTGCAAACCAGAGGGGTTACATCACCATTGCTCTGGCCCCTTTGGGAACAGAAGTTAGGATTACACTGATTCTTGGCTTTCATCTAACATTCAGACCATGTTTCTCCTGAAGTTTCACTGTGGAAGCCATCACAGAATAGGCTGGAAAAGACTTTGGAGATCATCGAGTCCAACCTCTGACCTAACACCACCTTATCAACCAAACCATGGCACTAAGTGCCACATCCAGTCTGTTTTTAAACCCCTCCAAAGATGGTGACTCCACCACTTCCCTGGGGAGTCCATTCCAATGCTCAATCACTCTTTCTGTGAAGAATTTTTTCCTGCTATCCCATCTAAATTTCCTCTGGTGCAGTTTAAGGCTGTGTCCTCTCACCCTGTCGCTGCTGCCTGGAAGGAGAGACCAACCCCACCTGACTACACCCTCCTGTCAGGGAGCTGTGGAGAGACATTGCCCAGTGCCTCTAGAAGATCCACCAGCTGGGAATAGGCAAGAAAATTTTATTTAAAATCCACATCTCACAGGATGTGGCCACACCAAATTCTTAAATATATTGGGAAAGCTGTGCCTAGAAACTTACCCAGCTTTAACTGGAGCTGTCCATGTCTCCCTTATCCACCCTTCTGGAGATCTCCATGTCTGCATCACCAAGCCCTAGCTGGAGCTCTCCATGTCTCCACTATCCAGCTTTAATGGGAGCTCTCCATGTCTCCATCACCCAGCCCTCACTGGAGCTCTCCATGTCTCCAACATCCAGCTGTAACTGGAGCTCTCCATGTCTCCATTATCCAGCTTTAACTGGAGCTTTCTATGTCTTCATCACCCAGCTATAACTGGAGCTCCCCATGTCTCCATCACCCAGCCTTCTCTGGAGCTCTCCATGTCTCGTTGGAGCTCTCCATGTCTCCATCACCCAGCTATAACTGGAGCTCTCCATGTCTCCATCACCCAGCAGCAACTGGAGCTCTCCATGTCTCCATCACCCAGCCCTCACTGGAGCTCTCCATGTCTCCATCATCCAGCAGCAACTGGAGCTCTCCATGTCTCCATCAACCAGCCCCAACTGGAGCTCTCCATGTCTCCATCAACCAGCCCCAACTGGAGCTTTCCATGCCTCCATCACCCAACCCTCACTGGAGCTCTCCATGCCTCAATAACCCAGCCCTCACTGGAGCTCTCCATGTCTCCATCACCCAGCAGCAACTGGAGCTCTCCATGTCTCCATCACTCAGCCCTCACTGGAACTTTCCATGTCTCCATCATCCACCTTTCCCTGGAGCTCTCCACATCTCCATGTCCTGTGCATCACACAGTAAAACCAAGAATGCCCACCAAGGTGTTCAGCATCTCACTCACTGCCTGCGTTTCAAGACGGACGGATGGAAAAATTGAAAAAAATTCTACAAAGGGAGATGGAAGCAACCCCTGGACACCCTCTAACATTTCCTCGCGGGATTCCTTCCAGTGACCCGGCTGAGCCCAGGGATTTGTGGGATTTGCAAGGCTCCCAGCTGGTACCTCAGCCTTGGTGAGCTGCTCCCGCAGTTTCTCCACCTCCTCGCGGAGCTCGCGGATGATGCGGGCGTTGGGGTCCTCGTTGACCACGGCGTGGTTGACGATGTTCTTGGCCCTGTCCGCGTAGCGCAGCGTCGACAGCGTCTCGTCGTAGTTGTCAGCTGCCGGGCTCACCGTGGCCACCATGGCTGTCTTGCTGTTGCCCCCGAGGCTGTCCTGGAAGGGTGGGGGGTGTTTAGAATCAACATTTGTATTTTGGTTCAAAATTAAAGAGTTTATACTGTGTAAGTCAAGATAAAGTTGTGTTTTTCAATGTGAGCTTTGAAAGCACTTTAGGGAATGTCATTCTCAGCTTTTGATATTCTTGGCTTTTTTAGTTTCACAGGAATGAAAAAAAGTCCCTTTTTTGGGCTTTACAGGGCCTGGTAAAGGCTTCAAAGGTTTCWCTATTTTYTGCTTAYAAACCAGAAATWAAACCASTTCATCACTGAACTTYTCAGACACTACTGAGGCAGCTCAGGAAAAACCACGATGAATTCAGATTATCTAGTTTTGAAAACTACAAAACAGACGTCTTCAAGAAATAAATCATTGAAAGATCTCTCCATAAACAATACAGCCCATTTTATTCTTATAAACATTCCAGAACGGGGCCCTTCCCCCATCACTGACACAGCTCACAAATCTAAACTGAGTTATGTAAGAAATTACCCTCCTGCATGGTGGCTGACAGAGAAGAAAGGCAGGAAACAAAGAAGGAAGGAAGGAAGGAAGGAAGAAAGGAGAAAGGGAGAAAAGTGAGGAAGAGAGGAAAGATTCAATCCTTTTATTCATCATAAAATTGTGGTTTACAATTTTGACCAGTCTAAAAGATAGAATATTCTGGTTTAAATTTTGCASCAGATTATTTTTTGTTTGGATGCTTGATTTCTTTTGGTTTTTTGTTTTTTTAATTTTTGGGGGTTTTGCTTGTTTATTTGTTTCTACCCAATAACAGTTTCTGAGACGACCCACGCTCTTAATTTTCATCTTCAATAACCCATGAAATGTAGGTCAGGCATTGCCATTAGAACAATCTGACTGCATTAGCTGCTTGTCAAACCATCTCAATYCCCAGCCACACGTGGAGCTTTCCCCAGCAATCATTAAAATGCCCCTTTAAGTCCTTCCTCAAGACTCTCTTTTTGGCTGCGTGATGCCTAAACCGGTTTGACAGCAGTCAGGCTGTTGGCAGCACTTGGCTGTCTCTGGTCATGCAAAAGGGCATGGAACTCATATGAAATGTAAATATACAGATATTTATAGTGCTCAACACAGTCAGCACATGCAGGTGAGTGTWTTTATCCAGAAATCAGCTGCAAAGAACAGATTTCTGACTGATCTTACCATAGGTTTCCTCATCCAAGGATTAAACAATGTTTACTCCCAATAAATCCATGGCTTGGGAGGGGCGACTCTACCACAGAATGTTTTTTTTTTAACTGAAAACTTGAAGACTACCAGGAGCACATGAATTATTCCATGGGATTTCCTGGCCAAAAATTAGGAACTACATCCTGCAGTCCCTGCTCTGCATAAAAAGATGAAATTTGGCAATTCCAGAATCCAATTTCAACAGTCTGCATTTTGGGAATGTCCTTCACTTCACTCATCAGCTTCAAAATAGGATGAATTCATTATTTGAAGAACAGTGATACACCAGGACCCACAACACACCCATTACAAATCAGGCAAAGTCCCTGTTGCAGAAATTCAAATCCAATGCCAGACTGTCTGATAAAATTTTATGCATAAAAACCCTTGTGCGGATTTCACTGATTTCTTTAATGTTAAGCAAGAAATGTGGACTAACAGCAAATCAGCCTCTCATTAGTGAAGAGAATTTGAAAATTATCCTGGCAAGGCTGGGCTTTCATGTGTTAACGAGACAGAGTGGAAATAGATAAGTTATTTCTAAGAACAAACTAGCCCTGTCTCCTCTCGCAGCAAGATTACAGTGAAAACAGCATAAAATACAGAGCTCAGAAATTGTATTTTTAATAGCAGCCATCAGGCTTCTGATTACCATGGGAAAACAAGATGTTTGTGCCAGAATAATTTGATTAAATCGAGAGGTGACAGAACTGACAAAGCAATTTTGCTCCCTACACACAACCTGATGCCACTGCTCAAGCAATGACATTTTTCACCTGGTACTTTTGGCTAAAGATCCTCAACAAAATGAAGTAAAAAGTTTCAGATCTGGAAGTGTCCTGAACGGTTTTCCCAACTGTATGACAGCTATTCYTACAGTTAGAGCACATTTAGTCTGCTTTGATACCATAATTATAAGTTGAAAGTCAGAGAGAAAGACTCYACCATCTCATAGCTTCTCCAAACAGGGCTCTTTAGAGGAATAAATCCCTCCTTTAATCTCTAATTTTAAAAAAYGTTTAAATTCACCCCCTTTCAAAAYAAAGCCTCAATGAGCTTGTTTGTARAAAAAAACYWMAAAAAAGCCCCCAACCCTTTTGTTGGCCCTGAACGTGGCTGGATGTCAGACACAAAGAGGGTTGGCCTGAAAGGAGGCAGAACAAAAGCCAGAATGCCTYGGACAGGTGCTGGACAGGAATTGCAGTCTGCTCCCTGGATTTGTTTAGAAATGGAGCAGCAGAACGAATTCCAACAAGGCTGGAAATTCATCAGGGAGGTTTCCTCACCCTGCTGGCTCAGGGGTGCTGCGCTGTGGCACTGGTGCCATCCTCACTGAGAGCCAAAAAAATCACTTCTTTCTTATTATTTAGAATAAAAACTCAGTGTGAATATAGAAAGGTAAAAATGTATTGAAACACTGAAAAAGTTGAAGTGCAAGAACATTGTGCTGTGAGCACTTATTTTTGTTTGTGTTGTGTCATTTTTACTTGGCTATTTCATGTCTGTATCTGTGAGGTTCACGCCAGGGAGTAGAGATAAATCATTTCACAAATCATGCTGAAAGGTTCATTAAAAGACAGCTCTGAAAAAAAATGAAGGTTTGTGTACCAAGGGGTTTTATTTTACTCAGGCACTGAATTCAACTTCATTTTCAAATCTCTGCAAGGAAAACTTCTTTTTTTTATCTCCACAGCCCTGTAAAACCTGCTCATACAGGATCTAGCAAAGACTTCAAAGGTTTCTTTCTACGTTTTTGGCTTACAAACCAGAAATAAAAACACTTCATCACTGAACTTCTCAGACACTGCTGAGGGAGCTCAGGAGAAATGATGAATTTAGATTATCATTCAGATTATTTAAGAAAACTTTGTCTTTTTTCTTTCCGTATTTTTCTTTCCATTTATGTCTTTTCCCTCCATAAATCAGAGGGACATGAAATTCAAACTGCTAAGAATGAGTGGGAAACCAAGATAACAAAATATAGCCAGAGCACCTACAAAAATAAGAGGACAAAGAAAGGCTGCCAAAAATCAGTTTCTTCCCAGATTATCTCTTTCTACCAACAAATATCCTTAGCTGCTTCTGTTTAAAAATTAAACAGAGCACAAGGGGAAAAAAAGATTTGACATATTGGGTTGTCAATTAGATTATTGAGATCTCATCCAAGTGCTCCTTTTACCCCCAAAATAAGACCAAATAAAAGTCCTGTGCAGCTCAGAAAATTATTTGACTGCTCATTTCACATGAKCACCATCTCTGAAATCTCCTGAGCTGTTTCTCAGACTGTAACTGGGACAATGCTCTGCAATTATCCTCTGCTGACAAAAGTGGAATATCTGRACAAATAAATGAGATAATTAGAAGGTAATAGTCTTAATCAACATCTTCAGAGCTGACCAYGCCAGTATGTAAAATTCAGCTGCATGCAGAAATAACCCAAATTAAATCAGCCCCGAGGTTGTGTGTGAAGCTGTACTTACACTGACCCATAAAAGACACTGCTTTTCATTTTATTTTTAAAGTTCCTTCATCCTTAGGCCATTGCAGGTCAGCAGAAGACAGGGAACATATTTAGTCTGCAGAAATACCAAGGGCTTACATCCAGCTCATTTCCAAAAAGAATTATGGTTAACATCAAACCCAGAAAATGAGGCAAAAACCATGGAATTTTGATTTAATCAAGACTCTTCTCCCCTTTTCCTCTCTTGTATTTTACCTTAAAAAAAAAAGAAGAATAATAAAAAAACAACTTACTTACTTTAAGTAACCAAGTGAGCACAGAGTCACGATATGGAACAAATTTGTTCTTGTTCTTGCCAGCAGCCTGATCTGCCAGGGCAGAAATAACCAGCCCCAGAGTGGTGAGGGATCTGCCCAGAGAGCACAAACAGTTATTAACYAGGGTAAATATTCATAAGTCAAATGCATATTTAGAAAGTGACTTTCTCTCCAAAAACATGCTCTGAGCAAAAAATTCCAAGTATAATTTTGATCATTCTTTCTTCCCAAAAGCTCCACTCCTTTTTTTTTTTCAGGATGTTTTCAGTCTTAACAATCAAGTCTTCACAATGAAATCTGTGGCAGTTGCAGAAACACAAATGTTTTTTAAATAGATGGAGCTCTCATTCCCATCTGTAAGAGTTTTGCATGTCAGAAGTAGAGAGAAGGAAAGCAAATTGACTACAAGAGCCTCAGCTTATTTTACAAGCAGGCTGTATTTAGCAGGAAATGGTGATGAAAAAGGGAAAATAAATAATCTCCAAGCCTTACTTGTTGATGTTGCTCCCTTCTTTCAGCCTGTCTCCTGCAGCACCAGTTTTAGTTGCCCTTTCACTCCCTGCCAAGTCCACCAGGCTCAGCTTGCCCACCTTCTCCCCTGATGTCTGGGGAAGGAACCAGAGAACAGCCACTCTTAGCTCACTTAAATCAAATTTCATTGTTTGATGTGTTTTACAACAGGAATCAAGCTTCATTTTTCATGTGGACTCTTGTTTGAAGCCCTTTGAGAATGGCTGGATTTGAACAGTGTCCTGTGCTCGCTGCCAGCTGCACAGAAACAATACTGGAGTCAGGGATGATGTGAAATCAGGGACTCTGATATCTTCAGGACATCTCAGAATCTCCAGGGGAGATGCAGAYAGGACACACTAATGAAGTGTTGAACCATGAAAAGTTCAGAGTTACTACAAAGGAGTCACAACCAGAGATGAGAGGTTCACAATCCCATCTTGAAAAGTCTCCTAAAATCCTCAAATTTTACACCAGAAAAACTTCTGTTTTTCAGAGAGGAGGAAAGAACTTGATGAGACACACATTATAATTTACATAAATTATCAYAACTGCAAAGTCTCCTTTATCCCTCTCAGCCTCCTGTGCCATGACCCCAGCTCTGTGAGCATTTAAACCTGCAATGCAGATTGAAATACAAATCTTTTTTTTTTCATCTTTTTGACCCAAAATGATGTTCTGAACCACTCCATGGATTTCCTTTGCCAATTTGAAACTGAAGAGCCAACCGTCCATGAGAACAGCTTGCTCACCTCGTGCTCTTCTGCAGCATCTGAACCTTCAGCATCTCAGTGCCCCAGTGCAAAGTGTTGTGTTCCCATAAATTAAAATATTATTATTATTATTGTTGTTGTTATTATTGCTATTATTATTGCTGTGTTATTATAATTACAATAGAAATGATAAAAATTTATATTATTCACATATATTCATACATTATTATATATAATATATTGATGTCTAATGTACCTTAATATGGTGATATATTAATGTATTAATACTCTACATTAATATATTCAGGTGATATATTTTAATTTATTAATATATAATAGTATAATATATAGTGAATTGTTATATAATATATCATAGTATATTTGTATATTGATATATTAATATATTATAGTTGTTATTAATACTATTAATAGCTATGAAAGAATATACAGAATGAATATATTAATAGTAATTATAAATATAATGATGATAATATAATTATCATTATAATGATGATAATAAAAGTAGCAATAATAGGGCTAATTAGAATCAATATCCTTCCAAAAATGTCACCCTAAACCTCTCAAAATATGGTGTAATCATGAAACGTGCTGTTCCCAGGACTGAAAGGACCAGCAGATGGGRGAGCAGAGAAATCTGTTCCAGCAGTTCCCACAGGGTCACTGGAAGGTGMAGAGAGGATGAACAGTCACAAGGACCACTCTGCTGAGCAGCAGCACACAAAAACCAGGTATGAAAAGCAGGCAGTAGAGCCACAGCCAAACTGGAATGACAAATTATGGAAAATAAAAAAAATCAGCACAGTATGGAGCTGATTTGAAGTGCAAAGTTAAAAAAAAAAATCCAAATAAAGAATAACAAGGAAAAATTATGTGGATAAGATTGGTGGAAACTGAGAAGTAAGGAGGAAAAAAGCCCAAGTGTTCAATATGCTTTCCAATATACTCAATATTTGGAAATATATTTAGAGATTTATTCCATGGACACCCAAAATTTCTCCAAGGCTTTGAAAATATTAAAGATCTTCCCAAGCACAGAACTTATAAGCAAAGTTTAAAGATGCTTATTTCAGTTTGAGTTTATCACCATTTTCTGTGAGGGACTAAATAACATTGACAAAACATATTTCACACATCCCTCCAAGGCATATTTATGTCTAAGGAAATATAAATTATTTTTAGATTTAAATGCTTTTTAGATATTTAATATCCACACATGAAAGCATTAATGGCATACAACATAAAATGCCTGAAATTAGTATATTTCTCAATTAATCAAGTTKATAATTTATACAAATTTGCATTAAATAACCATGGGAAGAGGATCAACAGAAATACACTGAGGTGTTCTTTTATTTTTCACCCACACATTTTATTTTTGGTCTGGACTACAAACTGCTGCCTTGAAAGAACTGTTCCTTTCCTGTTAAATACATTCAAACAAGAGACACATCCCAGCCTGACATTGCAAATAATTGAATTTTCTTACCCCTGACTGTGTGTCATAGAGGGTGTGGGTGAGGATGATCTTGAAGACRGCGTGGGACCGACTGCTCTCTTCATTCATGTTGGTGGCAGCCACTGTGCGAGATTTGTTGCCCTCAGACATCAAGGACTCGATGTCCTAAATACAATTTTCACAGCCATGAGCATATCTGTATTAATATCCTTCTCAATTATCTCCAGAAATCATCTCATTTTGGTCAAACGCAGTGTTTTCTCACTAGGTTTCCCATTTTGTTCAGAAAAATGGGAGGAAAAAATAAAAGCAATCTCCCCTTTAAAGCCTTGAAACTCCAGAGTGTCATTACTTCACCCAMTCCTCAACCTTAAAATTAATTATCAACCTTAATATTAAATTATCAGCAAAAATAATGCACCTGGCYGCACACAGCAACACTCAAAAGCACAGAGAGAAGTGAAGGAACAGCAATTCATGTTTGAACTCTGTCACATTTGAGCCTCAGTATCATGGGGTCAGAATCTGGAATACTGACAGAAGGCTCAGAGGTTTATAAAACAGAACCTTGCTGAGCAGGTCATTAAATCMTTCCAAATTTTAAGAGCTTTGATCTGTTGTGATGCTTGAGAAAGGTGCAGCTCCCCYRAGCTGGKGTTTCACATCAATTCTGGGAAATTGTGAAAACCTTGGAGTCTTTGGCTGAACTTCTGTTTGTGTCTCTACCTGGGCGATGCCAAAACAACTCAAAAAAACAGCCAAACAAAGGACCACCACAAATTCTGGATGACACAAAGCTGCTGGGCAACATGGAAAGGCAAAGCATGGAATGGGTCCTGTCAAAGCAGAAACCACCAAGGAGTGGTGGGTGAACACTGGGGGAAACTGCGATAGTGGGGACTGCACTATTTTCATGTTTTGGTTAAGGTGACAGAATTCCATCCTGTATTTACCCATTTGTTCCATAGTAAGTTACTGCTCCTTAAAAATCTGAAATTTTATGAATGTACATATAAATATTTATTATCCTGCAAGCAAGTTTCATGGGATGCTCTCCAGGATTTGCTTTGTAAACAACCATTAGTTGGTAATTCCGGGGAARTGACTGACTGGAGCATGACAGGCAAAAATGTGACTCAGTGGGGTACTGAGAGCCTGTCTCTGCCTAATCCTGGCCTGTCATTAATCACAGAGCACTTTCTCATCACAGAGCACACTCATCTCAAACTGGGAGCAAATCTGCTCCATCCAACAGCTGAACCACTTYCAGAATTATTGAGCAGCACGGGATGAAGTGAGTTCTGCTCTTAGCCCTGCTCTCCCCAGGAATCACAACACAACAACCCACAGCTCCCTTGCTCTAAGATCACTGATTAGGAGTATTTTAATAATCCTGTCCAGTTTAAGGGACAGCACCTGGTGTTTAGGATGTCAAGACAAGCCTTTCATGAAGTTGATCCTTACCTTGTAGCTAGCAACAGCTAGTTTGGATAGGCCATCTACGTAAGGGCCATAAACACTGTGTTCTCTAACCTTTAATGACTGACGGCTTCTGGTTGGGGGGARAAAAAAGGGATTTGTAAGCACATGACCGACTGAAAGACAACATTTACACAAAGCAAACTCCTCACTGACACATCTCCAACAGGAGGGTCCCACAAATACCCCCCGAAGCACAGAGCCAGGGCCAGAATGCAAACAAGGAAAGCTTTTTATGTCTGCACGGAAAAAGCTGACACGGACAACGTTGTCACTTCAGAAAAGGTGAGTTTGCTCCAAGTTTTTAGTCTCACTACTTTGTTTTGATTTAYAATGAGATGCTGAGATCAGGGAGCAGGAAAAGCCATGCCAGGCAAATGCTTTGTATGGGATTCATTAAGGCAAACTGGTTATGGGAAGGAAGAGTGTAGTACAAACACTACAGGGCCATTCACACACAAATCCCGTACCCTTTGGGGTCAAGGAGATCTCTGACTTTCTCGTTGTAAATCTCCATGTAGGACACTTCCACTTTGAAACTCTGCTCTTCGTTTTCTTCTTTCTGTGCTCTTTCGAAGAGCCCACTGCAAAGTCTGGGGATTAATCCGGGCTGGTCAGCAGTACCCATCATGGTGTAGGATTTTCCAGATCCTGGGTGAGGAAAGCTCTGATTAGGGTCCATGCAACAAAGGTTCCTGCTGTGCAGGATATTGATAGGGAATAGAAGAGGTTAAAATGTACTTTTGCATTTCAGTGGAAGAGATTTGTTCAATTTTCTACTTTGAAGCAACCAAAACACCACTAAGCTAAAGTCTCAATTAATTAAAAAGAAAACAGGAAATTTAGTTCAGAGTGCTGGAGAACTTTCAGGCAGATACAACCTTACAAGGCAATAACATCCACAATGGGAAAACTCTTCATATTACAYTTCAAATATCACATTAAAATGACAATTCAAGATTATTTTAACAGCTGAGGCAGAAAATCAGAGCAATGCTCCGAGCTCAAGGACGATCACAGTCACGCCAAAGATTATAATCTGAAGTGTGAGAAACAAGGGTAGCCAGCAGCAACAGAATCTTACTGCTCATCCTGCMCCCCTCCTATCTGATGTTACCAAAGAGGAAAACATTCCTTATCTACCTTAGAAGGCATTTCTCCTCAAACAATGTCACAAGAGGCACAGAAAGAGCCTGCAGGCAGAACAGAACACCTTGAGAGGGAGGGAACACTTTCTGCTGCTCTGGGACTCACCTGTCTGCCCATAGGCAAAGATACAAGCRTTGTAGCCTTCGAAGGCATTCTGAAGAATATTCTCTCCAAGGCACTTGAAAACGACATCTTGACCTAGAAAACAGAAAACACAAGCCCAGAGTTATAACACAGCAAGAACTTTTTGTCCCTTGGTTTGGATTCTTTGAAAATTAAGGAAAAGCTGTGAGGGTTTTCCTGCTGTGGTTGTCTAAATCACATCCAGGGTTTGCTCCCTGGAAAGGAGCAGAAAATGAGCTCCAGATTTGTGCTGCTGTAAAAATCAGGAGCTGGGATTATCATGGATACACCTGGGTGTGCTGAAAGGAGCATCCCATAAAGGTGCATGCTCAGAGATTTTATCAGCATAGAATCCATGACCAACTGCAGAATTCCATCTGCTGGGGAATGCCATCTCCTCAAAATACACTCAACCTGTACATTTTAATGAGAGTCAGTCGATTTTGATCTCAGGGAATCAGCAGAGCACTGGATAATTTTATATTATCTGCATAATTACAATTACATTATATATATAATATATAGATAAATTTATATAATAATTTATCTATATAATATAGATATTATGTACTAYATATTATGTATTATATATCATACATTATTATGTATTATAAAATATATATTATTATATATCTATATACAATTATATTAGATATATCACATATAAATATAAATACATAACCTATATATTATATATCTATATCTTATCTGTATGAGATATTCAATAACACCACAAGCAGATTTTTGCAGAGAAATAATCATAACTATGTGGAAGATATGGATATTCACAGGATATTTTGCACTGGCATAAAAATTAGGGTTTATTACTTCTTTTGTAATTGAACTTTGAGCTTTTTGGATCACTTTCCAAGCAGAGGAAAAAAGGCTTAAAATATTCAGGTAGTAACTACTGAAACAAAATCTCTGTTTTCAGAATTACTTTTACAAGCARCAAAATGAAAGTCTGAACAAGGCATGGCAGAATTTTATGGATTGAAAAGTTTAGTCAAATAATGTTCCTTGAAGCCCTTCTTTTCGCTCATTGAAGTTTACATCTTTCCAGTCAAACCCATGCAAAATTCCCCACGAAAATCACCAAGAGCTGTGCACAGCAGAATAGGTTTGGACCAAACACTCCCATGGTGCAACAGACCAAAATATCAGTTGTATAGGCAGCAGCATTAGTTTGAGAAACAAAATATGTCATATTCCTACGTAATTTCTATGGCCGGAAGCATTGCTTTTGTCTCAGTTCTTTGATAAATTATTATTCATTAATTATTTGTTAAAGAAATTAAAACTGAAAAGCACACATGTCCGATTTTTCCTGTGATGTTTATAAAATAAATGTTAACAAGCACCACTGATCCCCAATTTTAAAGGGTAACAAGTATGAAAGGAATAAATTACAGAACAGTAAAACCAAATATATTTCATATTTTACCATAACTATTCACCGACATGTGTTACAACAATACATAGAAAGCTTTTAACTGAATACTTTCTCACCTTAATTTACATACACTTATATTAAGCTTTTATTAATTAATTTAATTAGAATTCCTTTATTAARTTGTACTATGATGCCAAACTGCCATCAGCACTGAAAAACATGAAATTACAGCTAAAAAAAATTGGAATTACATTTGAAAAACGTAAAATTACATACATTCCTTCAACATTCCTTGAAAGAAAGAAATTGATTTGATGCTCTTAAAACTTTATTTGAAACACTGTGAATTTTCTACAGTGTTTTAAATAAATATGAACAAAGCATCATTGTGCTGGGTTTCTCCATGCCCTACACTGCACATGGCTGTCATCTTTAGAGAGGAGAAACTGGGATGACTGAAAATTTCCCTTTTCCTTGTGACAGCAGCCAGTCACATATGGCTGARCCCTGTAGCAAGGATTGTGTTTTCATCAGATCATTCCCACTTGGAGACAACAAAGCCACRGTAAATACTGATACCTGCGAATTTTTCTTTGACAGATTCATCCATAGACCAAAAGCAGTGATCGTAAGCGAACACCTGCAGGGAAACAAGCAGGAGATCTCAAAAAAACTGCCAAATCCAACATGATACTCACATTTTGACATTCTGAAATTAAAACAATTCCCACTGAATTYCTTATTTCCTAGAAGTTTGAAGCCTAAACAAACATTTCATTTTCCTGTATATTTTTATTTCTTCCAACCCTACTCCCCACTCTCTGTGTACCAACTGTGTGAATGTCAAGGACCCTCTCCCCATCTCCCTCCAAACCCATCCTTGCAAATTCATTTTTCACCAGAGTTTCTCTTTTGCAAACTGACAGATGTCCTCTAGCTCTTTCTGCCTCCCATCTCCCCRTGCCCTCTTGTCTGCACAAATTAAAAACAAGCCTTAGGGAAGGAACTCTTTCCATACAAGAGGAGTATGTATTTATTTACATTCCACGATAAACCAAAGCAGCCATCAAAATTAAGTATTTGCAAAGAATAATGGAAAGCAAATCAGTTTTAATAGCAAAAAAGTTGATTAGAATAATTTTAATTGAAAAGTTTCTATTAAACTATTAGAAATCTAATAATTTTAATGGAAAAGTTTCATTTTTGCCATAAATCCATTGAAAGGTCCATGGGCACCTTTCATCCTGAAAGATAATCTGAAATAATATAATGTATATTTTGGGACAGATGTTTGCAAAAAAAGCTCCCSTGGGTACGTATCTGCAAGGAAAAATATTAATTAGGGTCATGTTTGACCTACATTCATGGGCAAAATTTATTCTGTAGGATGTAGGAAAAGGGAAGTGCAACATGGGGCTCTCTGGATGTGGATTTCCCCTTTAAGCTTGATGGCAGCTGCTCTTTCCCCTTTGGATGTTGTGCATTTCTACAGTGCTGACTGCCAACATTCATGAAAATGCTTAACACAGCAAAATCCTTGAAATTTAAAAAAATTATCTTCAAAAATACATTGTTTCCCCCCTTATAGCACAGTGATGTACCAGCATCAAGAGATAAAGCAGTTATTTTATATCCTTTAACTGAGGAAACAACAGCTTGTGTGTTTAAATTTAAGGTGGGGTTTTTTTCCTCTGAATTTTTTGAATTTCCTTTGAATATTTTACAACTTAACATATTATTAGAACATCCCAAGCCTTCAGAACATTTAGTAAAAATCACTGGCTGGATGAGCACATCCACCGAGCTGAACCCTGAGACACCAGGGCAGAGTCTTCAAACCGAGCGCAAAGTCACGGGACCAGAGAAACAAAACAAGTTTGCTYGAACACAAATACCAAAAAATGCTTTTAAAAAGCCCACAAAGAACAAGTATCTCCCATTCAGAGGCTGCAGTGCTGAGTCTGTATGTTCTCATTTGTTCCTCTGACTCATTTCTTGGCACGGGCTGTGCAGAGAATTTCTGTATTGAGGAGATGCTTGGAGTTTCTTACTCAGCAGCTGAGCAGTGACGGAGCTTTTCAAAATGCTTTTAATATTTGGATAAGCCAAGACTGAGCAARTGATGGGACAATTCCCACACCCTGAGAAAAGCCCTTACCTTTGGGTGAGTCCTGCTGGTCCCCAAGGCAGTGGGAAGGGTTTGGTACAAGGTCAGAAGAAAAAAAAAAAGACAAAAGAAAAACAAGGATCGTTAGTTGTAGTGATTTTAACTTAATTATGCTACAATTAATGACTGGAATGTTGTATTTAAAAAGTTCATTTCCCTCCTCAGACTTCTCCTTGCTTATAGATCCCAAATAATTGTATAAACTTTTTCAGGAGTAAGATTTGAGATGCTGCTCTGAGCTGATTTAAAATYCAAAGCCACTGATTTTCCTCGTGCAGCATCTCTTCCTCATTTTCTCACAGGTTTATTTTTCTTGCAACGCCTCTTTATCTGGGTGTCACCACCTCTTAAAAACAAAGTACTCAAGCAACATAAAAATTTCCAAAACCATTTGAACAGGAACTTCAGGAGTGTTATTCAAGAGGAAATCTCAGAGTCCAACCCTTGGGYTTGCCCAGCTCAGCTCTCTCATGGTTGCTGGGACAGCAGAGCAAACATTTGCTTCCCTAAAAGAATGAGCAGAGAGCAGCAATTCCTCCAGTCTGTTATGTGCAGAATTTAAACATTTGGGGGGGTTTTGTTTGTTGTTTTTAAGCAAGTACAAAAATGACTGGAGTCATTTTAAAGGAGTGACCTTTAAAACACCAGCCTGATCAGTGACTGCAGGTTCCCCACAACAGAGGCTGGAGAAAAACAGCAAACACACAACCAACCCCTGATATTCCCCTGTCCTGGACCTTCCCCGTGACATTAGGAAACTCTTGACATCAGCAGCGAGTAAAGTCTTGTGACAAGCAATGCTGATTCCTTTTGAGYAGAGCAGGAGAAAGGCAGGGGAGCCGTACAGGATTAACCTCAGAGCTCTTGCTGCTCACAGGGGTTGAGAAGCAAGTTTAAAAAGAAACATTTCTGAGCGTTGCCTCTCAAAAATAACTATTTATTACTCAAATCCATCACYTCTCTTTACTCRTGCCTGGATCTGTTGTGGGGTTTTGCTGGACAGAAGAGGAATGATGGTGGCTTGGGAGAGAAGAGTGATTATTTCAGCCAAGGTCACCGCGTGGCACAGGGTCAGCCAAGCCTGCAGTGACAACATGACCCCCTTTCTCTGCCATCTGGCAGGGGTGGAAAAAAGGCTCTCCCGAGGTCCTTGGCAGCGAGCTTGAGGTGGATTCTCCACTGTTACTCCCGGGTGGATTTTATTGAGGGAATCTCCTTYACTGGGGTTTGGATCCAGACTCAGGAGAGTCCAGAGAGCCCCTCTGGATTCCTCTCTGAGAGATACAGGAGCATTTTCGTGGCTTGCTGTGCTCTGAAATGCTCACAGAGCCTTTTAGGGAAGCTTTGCTTCCAGAGCAGAGTTAATTCCCATTCCTACAAGAATGGGAATTACTTCACCCTACTTTTGTAAAAACCAAGGGAACGGCAAGCCCGGAATTCAGCACTCAGAGATGGGACACTGGCTGCTCACTCAGCCCTGCTCACAYTCCCCAGCCCAGCCCCAAAGCAGGATTAAATTGCCACAGCCCGGCTGATATGCCCAGCCCTCAATATGGGGCACATTATGGAGTATTTGGGTTAAAGCAGCCATAAGGATGTCATCCCACAAGGTCTAGCCCATAGATAATTTTAAGAGGATGGATTATACAGGGCTCTGTATCATCAAGCTTAAGCTTTAGTCTGAACTGAGAATCTCATTTTCTGCACAAACCCACAAACCCAGCTCTGGGGTCTTGCTTAACACAAATGGGAGCAAAAGAAACCCCACAAAACCCAGCGAGCAGCATTTGGGACACAACCCAGCTGCACAGAGCTGCACTTGTGCCCATGAAGAGAATAAATGGGACAAACGTTTCCCCAAGGAAAGCATTAAGGGTGAGCCTGCAACACCCAGCATTGTGCTGCACACACACACGAGCCCATTAATGCTGCAGCTGCATGCTGCGCCCACAAAGCCATGAAAAGATTTCTAGCCTGGTTCAAAATCCCTTGGGAAATGAAGAGATGGGAAAATAGAGCAACCAGAGCAGCCTGGGTGGCTGCAGGGACACACTGGGAGTGCTGGGTGGTCACACCCAAGAGCTCCAGTCCATCTCAGGGGGGAGGAAAAGGTGAATACCAAAGACAGCATCAAAATAGCAACTTCTGAGCGTTATCCCTCAAAAAAAAATATTTATTACATAACTCCATCGCCTCTCTTTACTCATGCCTCTGGGATTTTGTTGGACAGAACAGGAATGATGGTGGCTTGGGAAGGCAGGTGACAGGGAAGGATCAGGGAAGGATTTCCTACAACAAAACACCGATAACAGGAACCCATCAGAGAACAGGGARGGGATTTCCTCCCTCTACTCTATTCTTGTCAGACCCCACCCAGAATCCTGCACACAGTTCTGGTGTCCCCAGCATAAGAATGACATAGGGAATGTCCTTCACCCCTTAGTGGAGAAAGCCCAGATGAGGCCACAACGTTGGTAAAAAGACTGGAGCATCTCCCCTATGGAATCAAGCTGAGGAATTAGGGGTTGTTCATCCTGGAGAAGAGAAGGTTGTGTGGAGACCTTCTAAAGGGCCACAAGGAAGCCTGAGAGAGACTGTTCATCAGGAGCTGCAGTGACAGGACAAAGAGAAATGGGTTCAAACTGGAAGAGGGGAAATTTGGGTTCAATATATGGAAGGAATTTTTTTCTCTGGGAGGGTGGGGATGCCCTGGAACAGGTTTCCCAGAGAAGCTGTGGCTGCCTCTGGATCCCTGGAAGTGTCCAAGGCCAGGGTGGATGGGTTTGGAGCACCCTGGGATAGTAGAAGATGTCCCTGCTCATGGCAGGGAGTGGGACTGGATGAGATTTGAGATCCCTTCCAAACCAAACTATTCTGGGATTCTTCTTTCTTCGAAGGATATTGGATGCACACGTTTGTATTCAGGCACTTGTGTAAATATCGCAGAGTCCATGTGAAAATCAACTCTTTCAAAGTGGTTCTGGTTGGATTTTTTTGCGTTTTTGAGGAATTCAGACAAACTCAGACTCAAACTGGTTTAAGTAGGGGCTCTGTTGGGGTTATGGATTGGATGACACAGCTGGGTGATCTGCCAAAGGTGGGAAAACTTGGTGGACATGAGGAAGCCCTCAAAACATCCTTTCAAGGTTTAAATTCAGAACAGGATGACTTTTAAGATCCCTTCCACGGGATGGTTGTTAAGATTCCTTCCTGCCCAAACCATTCTGAGATTCCATGATTTCCTATGGAGAAAGCTGGTGCTGGCAAAAAAACCCCAGAGGATCCCAACAATGTCAGTTTATAATGAACAGTAACAGAGACACCTTCCACTATCCYAGGGTGCTCCAAGCTCTATCCAGCCTGGCCTTGGACACTCCCAGGGATCCAGGGGCAGCCACAGCTTCTCTGGGAATTCTATTCCAGGGCSTCCCCACCMTCCCAGGGAACAATTCCTTCCCAATATCYCAYCWRTCCCTGCCCTCTGTCAGTTTGAAGCCAYTCCCTGTGTCCTGTCCCTCCATCCCTTGTCCCCAGCCCTCTCCATCCCCACGATGCTGCCATTCCGAGGCACAGGCAGCTCCTCACAGCCCACAAAATTGCCATTTCTCTCRGATGCAAAAGCATCCAGGGCAGGGAGGGAAAAGTTCTCTCCCAGCTGCTGAAGGATGTCACTGAGATGCTCCCAGCTCCTTGTTTTCACTCGTATCCAGCCTGACAGGAATTTGCCAGCTCCCTTCTTTTATCTCTTCTCAACTCAATGTCAAACAGAAGCAGGGGGAATCGAATGTAGCTAATKCAATTCTAAAATTAAAAAAGGAGGAAGAATATCCTGAAACAACTGCCYGCATTTAACAGTATTTTATTTGTTTCAGTCCACAGTGGGGGGTTGAAATGAGATGTTTTTTAAGGTGTTTTCCAACCCAAATAATTCCATCATTCCATTAATAAATCTGCTGTTTTGAGAGTGAATGAAGAAATGCAGCCTGAATAATAATTTCTTTTTAAAGTACCTCTCACATTGTGTAAATGTAKCCTGATCAATCTTCCTGATCAGGACACATCTGTTCTCCTATAAACATTCTGGTGCTCCCACAGATTTCAGTGTAAAAATATTTATCAAATCAGAACTCAGACCATCAGTGTATGTGTAATATAACACTGCTTTAGGTTTTTTAACAGAATAATTAAATTACGTCTTCAAACACAATAAACTGTTCAACCACAGTCATTTGCAGCATTTTAGCAACACCCAGATCAATTTTTCCACGTTCAAAAGGTGAAGGAAGGTTCAGTGAGCTGAAGGAAATTTCAGACTGTGCAAATCTCGAGGGGAAAACACCCCAGCCCATGAGCAGAGGTGAAGGCTGGCTGGAGAGAGGAGAGGAGAGTTCAGCCCTTATCTCTTCTGTCTGGCTGACCCCASAGCTCTGAGATAGCAGCCAGCTGGCAAATCAGCACATGCTCTAAATCAGTCACAGCACATCTCCCTTCTCGTCTGGATCACAAACAGGCAGATGGGGCAAAGGGASGAGAAAGGTGGGAGGTGGCAAGGCAGGAAGAAGGAAAAGAGCTCCAGAAGCTGCAGGACAGGAGCTGACATGCCAGGCATGGGATTTCTGCCCTGTATTTTCCTGAAAAAAGAACACTTTCTGTGCCAACAGCAACTGCAACAACACCCAAACTGTACTTTTGTCTGATACTGCCAAGTGGGACAAGACCACTCTGGATTCATGGAATTGAAACATAACAGTCTATCATTTCCAGAAACTTCTGGACTAGTAAAACATAATCCAAAKTTGAGGGTTAGAAAAAAGAAAAAGCAGAAGCAACAATTTCAACTACAAATCAGGAAAAGCCTCAGCAGATCTCCAGAAATCCTTCTTGCTTTCCATTTTCAATCTTCTATAACCACTGCAAAAACAAGCCTATCAAATTCCAGTGTAATTAGTGCTATTTTATGCCCTTCAGCATAAAACTCTAGAAAGCAGACAAAAATACAACTAGGAA